AACCTTTTTTTAATTGATCACATATTGAAATGCAAACACGTTGGATATATTGGATTAAATAAAATATATTGTTGAAATTACCTTCACTTGTTTTTATGTGCTGTTTTCTTAAAAACAGCTAGTGGAAAATTTATAGTCACCTTTGTGGTTTGCATTTGTATTTGTGTGGACAGTGCTGCTCTAATAGTGCCTGGGTAGCCCGTAAATGATGTTGACAGGTGAGCGGTCCCATGTATAAGGCTTGGAAGTGATGGTCCCTCCTTCTTCCACGCTTGTGAGCCCTCTTCACCTTGTTTTCAGGTTTGGGCAGAGTTTAGCTTGTTAGGAATTGGGTTCCATTGGATGCAGTGGCTCACACCCATAATTGTAGCATTCCAGGAGGTTAAGGCTCAGGAGTTCAAGACTAGCCTGAGCAATTGTGAGACCATGTCTTTACTAAAAAAAAGTAGAAAAATTAGCCAGGCATTGTGGTGGGCACTTGTAGTCTCTGCTACTCAGGAGGTTGAGATAGGAGGATCACTTTAACCCAGGAGTTTGAGGTTGCTGTGAGCTAGGCTGATGCCTGGGCACGCTAGCCTAGGGCAACAGAATGAGATTCTGTCTCAAAAGAAAAAAAAAGAAAAAATTGAGCCAGGCGTGGTGCCTCACACCTTTTATCCCAGGACCGTGGGAGGCTGAGGAGGGAGAATTGCTTGAGCTCAGGAGTTCGAGACTTGCTTGAGTGAGAGTGAGACCCTGACTCCTAAATAAATGTAGGCAGGGGGATGCCCTCAGCTGGAGTATGAGGTTGCCATGAGCTGTGACGCCACTGTACTCTGCTCAGGACATAGGGTGGGACTCTGTCTCAACAACAACAACAAAAAAGCAAAGAAATAAGAATTAAAAAAAACATTGGATCCCTGTCACTAAATTACTTGCTATATATTTCTGTTTTATTATAACTGTTGTGGCTGTTTTTACTGGTCTTACCCTTGCTTCGGAAACCTTCCATTACCATTGAAGAGAGCTTTGGTCCCTTTTATCCCTATACCCCCACCTTGTGTACGTACATACATACATGTGTATTTCCCATCCTCCTAATATCATTGTAAACATAATATTGTTTAGGTCAAGATTCACTGTTTGCTGTTATGGCTGTAAATGCTAATTGTAACTGAGCTGTGTCTTAAGTACTCTTTGCTTTTTATTTTCTGCAAGTTCTTGTTCAGTGTGCAGTCAGTAGTTGCCTTGTTACTGATGTTCAGCTGTGTAGCTTTTCCTGTACCTGTCCTAATTCAGTCTCCTATTCCACCAGTTGTCTGAAGTTCATCTGTATGCTGCAGACTGCTGGCTGTAACCTGCTGCATGTGGACCAGCAGTTCCCCCTGTGCCCACGCCTCTCCTGCAGGGTCTCCTCCTCCAGACCCTCAGCTTTCCTCTGCCTTTCTCCTGTTTCCTCCTTTCCTCTGCCCTTCCTGTTTTTCTGCATCTTCCTCTTTCTTGGTTAATTTCCTCATTTTGGTGAAGCACATCTTCAGTAGCTTCCTGAGAAAGGATGCGTGGGACATGTATTTTTTAAGCACTTGCATGTCTAAAAATGTTTTTTCTCCCCTCCCTGAAGTTTAAATATAGTGGGAGGGTAGAAGCAGTTTTTGTCAGAATTTTTAAGATAATATATTTCTGAATTGCCTTTTAGCTTCCAGAGTTGCTTGAGGCAGTTAAAGTCAGTTCTGGCTCCTTATTACCTCCTACCCCCAGACTCTCCCAAAAAACTTTTTGAAGGTTCTTTTTGTTCCCAGTGCTTAAAATTTCACTACGATAGATGCCCTAAAACAGGTCTGTTTCTACCCTAATTTTCCTGTGTTGGTCCTGCCATATTGGCCCTTTAATTTTAAGGTGCTCTTTTTTATTTTTTCTCTCTCTTATTTTTGCTGAAGTTTCTAAGAGACTTAATTTCTCACTCCTATTAAGTTTTCTCTTTATTTCAGCTATTGTGGTTTTAATTTGTTTTCTGAAAGTTCTGTTTATCTAGTTATTTTTTACTTTATGGATGTAGTATGCCCAATTCCCCTAATAGTTTTCATTTATATAAAAAAAGTTTCCTTCTCTCTCCGTAGTCTCTTTCAGCTAACTATTTTTTTGGGTCTGTTTATTTTTCTTGATAGAATCTGGCTTTAGATGTTAGGTAGTTCCTGGTGGTTTACTCGTGTAATGTTTGAGAACAGGATATTACAAAGGTGACTAGATGTCTGCACATGGGTGTGGCCTTGTGGTTGTGGAGTTCACTTTAGAACCATCTGTCTAGGCTGCTTCCTTGGGGAACCCCTGATGTCAGTATTTTTTAGATTCTGCCTTTTAGGTTAGTTTAATTCCCTGAATAGGGAAGTTTCGATATCCTGTGTGGAGAGTTAGGCGGAGTAGAGAGGCATGCTGACTAAATCTCTGTTTTCAGTAGAATAATCTCCACCTTATGATGTGTCTGGTGCTTTCCAGACCAGAGAACTTCTGTCTTAGCCACTACAGACAATACTCCAGGCTTCTGCTGGGGTAGAAGAGGGCAGTTGCCTGGCTGAGCACAGTAAAGGGGAGTATTTACCTTTTTATTGCCAAACAGTATTCTGTTTTATTGGATACGCCACATTTTGTCTGTCCATTCATGAGCTGATGGACTTTTGGGTTGTTTTCCACTTTTTGGTTGTTGTTAATAATGCTTCTGTCAACATTCCTGTATATTTTTTTTAGGGACATGTTTTTATTTTTCTTGGATAATACCTAGGAATAGAAATGCTGGATCATATAGCAAGTCTATTTAAAATTTTGAGGAACTACCCAACTATTGCCCTAAGTGGCTGCAACATTTTATATTCTTATCAGCAGTGAGTGAGAGTACTAATTTATTCACTTTTTGGAGGGGGAGGGGGACAGCCCTCAGTAGATTGCTGTGGCATCACAGCTCACAGCAACCTGAAACTCTTAGGCTCAAGCAGTTCCCTTGCTTCAGCCTCCCAAGTAGCTGGGACTACAGGCGCCCACCACAATGCCTGGCTATTTTTAGAGATTTGATTTAAAATGCATTTGACTTGATTTAATAATTCTTTTGTATTTGAGATGATTATTTGTGTTTTTTCTTTTATTCTGGCAATATGGTATTTATTTTGATTAATTAGTTGTTAAACCACCTTTGCATTCCTGGGGGTAAATCTAACCTGGTCGTATAGTATATAAAATAACCCTTTTCATGTTGCTCTGTTGGGTTTGCTAGTATTTTGTTGATGATTTTTTGTGTCCTCCACAAGGGATATTGGTATGTAGTTTTCTTGAGATGTCTCTGTTATTGGTATCAAGATAATACTGGTTTCTTAGAATGATTTGAGAAGTTTTTCTTATGCTTTTATTTTTTTAAAGAGTTTGTGAAGGGTTTTTATTAACTCTTCCTTAAACATTTGGTAGAGTACGTCAGGGAAGCCCTCTGGGCCTGTACTTTTCTTTCTGTGGGTAGTTTTTAAGTTAATAGTGTTTTGGTTAAGGATAATTATAAGTGAGCATTCATTTCCCAAATACCTGTTGATATTTTATCATTCAGACAACCATTCCCCTCTATAATATACAAATAAAAAGAGATTTTGATATAACTTTATTTTTTTCTCTCTTGTAAAGGTCTCAAGTTATCGTGGAATCAGTAAGCAATGGCATCTAAGAAATTTGCTGTTAAAGTAAGTAATGTTTAAGCCTTTCACAAAATGACTAATCACTTTCTGGTATAACTAAGTCCTGTGTTAATTAAAAACTGAAGTTGTGAATTTACCTTCTGCTCTTTTGTTGTTTACTTTCCATTTATTCATTTTATGTATTGTTACCCTGCCTCAGGGGAGCATTCAAAAACTAATACAAACTGAGATTATATTTTCTGACAATTCACGTATTTTAGTTTTAGAAGACAATTTCCTATATAAAATAAAAACAATTTATCCATTTGATTGCTAAATTTTATAATTGTGTCTGCATCAAACGGAGAGTCTTTTATCCCTACCATGATTGCTACTGGCCAAGAACATACAATGGCCTTGTGTTCTTAACTCTGGGTTGGAAGAGCAGCTTTGAGGAGCTTCTTGCCATCGCCTGCTGTCACATTACAGGCCTAATCAGTTAATGCCCAATTCCAGAATGAGAAGACTCAGAGTTTTGGAGTTTGCAAAACCTTCTCATCCATTGTGCCTGCATTTTGATTCTTCTGAAAAATTAGAGTAACTGATAAAGTGCTCAAAAACAGACAAACTTTTTTTCCTTCTTTTAAAGACAGTTTCATTCTGTTGCCCCAGGTAGAGTGCAGTGGTGTCATCATAGCTTGCAGCAACCTCAAATTGGTGGGTTCAAGCGATTGTCCTGCCTCATTCTCCTGAGTAGCTGGGACTATAGTCAGGCTAAAGTGTCAGGCTAAGTTTTGTAGAGACAGAGTGTCTGGCTGGTTTCAAACTCCTGAGCTCAAGCAATCCTCTCATCTTGGCCTCCCAGAGTGCTAGGACTACAGGCATGAACAACTACTTGGAGAGAACATTTCTCCTCTTTACATTTGGGACTCTGAAAGGTTTTTTTTTTTTTTATTTCAGGCTCCCTAATTCCATGAATATTTACAGAACATCAACTATAGGCAAAACATTGACATCATCATTGAAGATAACATTGGGACAAATATATCAATTTTGTGAGGAAACAAAAGCATTATCTATAAATTAATTATGAAATAAATGTACTCATTACCACCACTCTTAGTAAAGTTAAAGATCCTAGCTAGTACAATTATGATAACTTAAAAATCCCAATAGTTTATAAAAAAAAATACAAATTTCATTACTTTCAACTCTGAAAGTTTTGAGGAGGCATGTTGAAAATTTATATTTTAAGAATGAAATGGGGGAGAAGATTAATAGTTCCTATGGTTATGAGAGTTTGTTCATGCAGGCCTCTTTTACATTGCTTTTTTGTCATAACATGGTTCTTAATGTTAAAGATTATCGTTCTCATTGCATGTTGTGGCATGATTTCTGATTATGTCAAAGCAGATAAAAGATCAAAGTGAAAGAAACAGGCAGCAGATGCTGTACCGGGCTGAGTGCCGGGGGCGAGTTCTCCTGCCTTGCGGCCCTCTGTCATTTTCCTCTTTTTTGTGTCCCTTTTCTGTCCCTTGATGGCTGGGGCTGAGACTTTCTCAGCTGTGGTAGGGAAAGAGAGGGCAGGAATCAATAAATAGTGAGTATAAGATTTTGGAGATGCTTTCACGTGTCTTGGCTGTTCTTTAGGACATTTTTTGTATGCTGGTGTTATCTTAAGGACAAGTTGAAAGTGTCAAAATATAAAGTGCAGTAGTTAGTT